CGACACGGAACAAAAACCCACAACCACAAGGTGAAAACAGACAGTTTAAATATGGCTCCCAATCAGAGACAACCAGCGAACAGCTGACACTCGTTGCCTCTGATTGGGAGTCACTCAGGCAAACACAGAAATAGACAACCTAGAACACCCAACATAGAAACAGAACACATAAACGAACACACCCTGGCTCAACATACAGAGTCCCGGAGCCAGAGCGTGACAGTACCCCCCCCCCTAAAGGCGCGGACTGCGACCGCGCCTCAACAAAACCCACACAGGGGAGGGCTGGGTGGGCATTCCTCCTCGGAGGCGGCTCCGGCTCCGGGCTTGACCACCACCCTTCCATAATTCCCCCGTAGCGCCCCTGATCCGGTCTGACCCCGCTGGCTGGATCTGGACTGGACATCGACGGAGCGGATTGCTTACGCTCCGTTGTGGAGCAGCTGACCGGTACCTGATCAGGCACCAGACTGACGACGCGCACCCCTGGCTTGGCGCGTGAGGCAGGAACGGACCGGACCTGGCTGACGATGCGCCCCCCTGGCTTGGTGCGTGGAGCAGCAACGGACCGGACCGGGCTGACGACTCGCACCCCTGGCTTGGTGCGTGGAGCCGGAACGGGCCTCACCGGACTGACGACTCGCACCCTTGGCTTGGTGCGTGGAGCAGCGACGGGCCTTACCAGGCTGACGACTCGCACCCCGCGCTTGGTGCGAGTAGCAGGAACGGGCTGAACCAGGCTGACGACTCGCACCCCTGGTTTGGTGCGAGTGGCAGGAACGGGCTGGACCAGGCTGACGACTCGCACCCCTGGCTTGGTGCGAGTGGCAGGAACGGGCTGGACCAGACTGACGACGCACACCGTAGGCTTGGTGCGTGGAGCAGGGACAGGCCGGGCTGGGCTGGCGATGCACACCGTAGGCTTGGTGCGTGGAGCAGGGACAGGCCGGGCTGGACTGGCGACGCACACCGTAGGCTTGGTGCGTGGAGCAGGGACAGGCCGGGCTGGGCTGGCGACGCACACCTTAGGCTTGGTGCGTGAAGCAGGGACAGGCCGAACTGGGCTGGCGACGCACCCCGTAGGCTTGGTGCGAGAGGCAGGAACAGGCCGGACCGTACTGGGGACACACACCACTGGCCCTACGCAGGGATCAGGAACGGGCCGGACCGGACTGGTAACACACCCCAGTACCTCTCGCCGTGCCTCCACACTTTCCCTCTCCTCTGTGACCAGTGGCCCCCTTAACCTGGCGGCCTCCTCTGCCAATCCGCTGGGCCGCTCTGCCGCGGTCTCCTGCTGGCCCGTCGTCCACGGCGTTAGCCCCCCCCTAAAAAAATTCTGGGGGTCTCTCTTCCCCGTGGGCCAGGCCTCTATATTTCTCACCCAACTCTCGCTCTCCTGCTTCCAACTCCAGCCATTCTGCTCCTCCTTAGGCTTGACCCAGTCGAGACTCTTCCTCCACTGTTCCCAAGTCCATCCACTCTGCTCTTTACAAGGCTGGACCCAGTCGAGGTTGCCACGGAGATCTGCAAGCGATTCCCCTGGCGATGGCTCCTGGACACGCTGCTTGGTCCAGTTTTGGTGGGTTTTTCTGTCACGATCGTCAGGGAGAGAAGTAGACCAATGCGCAGCGTGTTGAATGAACATGTTTAGAATGTATTAAATAAAGCACGAACAAAACAATAAATGACTCGTAACGTCCAACGGTAAACAAATACCGACACGGAACAAAAACCCACAACCACAAGGTGAAAACAGACAGTTTAAATATGGCTCCCAATCAGAGACAACCAGCGAACAGCTGACACTCGTTGCCTCTGATTGGGAGTCACTCAGGCAAACACAGAAATAGACAACCTAGAAAACCCAACATAGAAACAGAACACATAAACGAACACACCCTGGCTCAACATACAGAGTCCCGGAGCCAGAGCGTGACACAGAGGGTTTGGCAGTGACTGGACTTGTAGGAGGACAGGTGAAAATCAAATGCTCACATATATTTGCACAGAGCAACAAAAAATACTTCTGCAAGGACACCTGCACTGGTTCAGATATTCTGGTTCAAACTGAGGACAGCAAGAACTATATTGAGAGAGGGAGATACAGTATAAATGACATAGGAGATGGAGACTTCACTGTTACCATCAAGAGCCTGAAGATGTCAGACTCTGGGACCTACTGGTGTGGAGTGGATAGATTCTTCATAGACACGTCTCAGGAAGTGCTTCTCACAGTACTGGACGGTACGTGTTTCATGTTGTTGTATTTACAGAGACATTTAATTTCACAGTTTCTCTTCAGTACTAGAACTCTATTGTCTTTAGTATAACATACATTAGTAATAGTATTAGTACTGAAGAGAAACAGTAATATTCAGTATTAGTATTTAGCTGCACATCATTCTTATTAAGGGGCAGAATGTTGTCTATTACTCAGTATCACACTGTGGCTATTACACACAACACTTCCTGTTCAGCTTCCCTGTTCTAACAATACAGTCTGACATCGGTCTTATATTTTTCTTTTCAGCTCCGCCTATTCAGCCTGACATCACTAGGTCCAGTCTCCGCCCCCCTGTCATAGTAGTCATAACAACAGGTAACCTCTAAACCAGTGGCACTCATTATTGGACCCTGGCACTACACACCTGATTCCACTAATCAACTCATCATCAAACCTTTGATTAGTGGAATCAGGTGTGTAGTACTAAGGCTAAAACTAAATGATCACCCCTTTGGGTCCCCAGGACCAGGATTAAGATACACTGCTCTAGACATAGATTGAGACAGTACATCTGCATTCTAAGCTGCCCAGCATCCAGATACCAGGGTATACAGTCCATTCAGAAAGTATTCAGACCGCTTGACTTTTTCCAAATTTTGTTAGGTTACAGCCTTATTATTTTTTATTTTTTTTCTTAATCAATCTACATACAATACCAAATAATGACGAAGCAAAAACAGTTTTTTAGAAATGTTTGCAAGTGTATTAAATATAAAAATCAAAATATCACATTTACATAAGTCTTCAGACGCTTTGCTACGAGACTCCAAATTGAGCTCAGGTGCATATTGTTTCCATTTATCATCCTTGAGATGTTTCTACAACTTGATTAGAGTCCAACTGTGGTAAATTCAAATGAATGGACATGATTTGGAAAGGCACACACCTCTAAACACCTGGAGAGTAAACATTCTATCTGCCTAATTCTTCTCTGCATGCACTCTCTCTCCCTCTCCATCCATCTCTCTCTTTCTCTCCCCGTGACTCTCTCTCTCCCTCTCCATCCATCTCTCTCTTTCTCTCCCTGTGACTCTCTCTCCCTCTCCATCCATCTCTCTCTTTCTCTCCCTGTGACTCTCTCTCCCTCTCCATCCATCTCTCTCTTTCTCTCCCTGTGACTCTCTCTCCCTCTCCATCCATCTCTCTCTTTCTCTCCCTGTGACTCTCTCTCCCTCCCATCCGATCTCTCTCTGTCTCTCCCTGTGACTGCTCTTTCTTGTGACTATCTCTCATCTCTCCATCCATCTATCTCTTTCTCTCCCGTGAATCTCTCTACCATCCCATCCATCTCTCTCTTTCTCTCCCTGTGACTCTCTCTCCCTCTCCATCCATCATCTCTCTTTCTCTCCCCGTGTGACTCTCTCTCCCTCTCCAATCCATCTCTTTTCTCTCCATGTGCTCTCCTCTCCACCATCTTTTCTCCCTGTGACTCTCTCTCCCTCTCCATCCATCTCTCTCTTTCTCTCCCTGTGACTCTCTCTCCCTCTCCATCCATCTCTCTCTTTCTCTCCCTGTGACTCTCTCTCCCTCTCCATCCATCTCTCTCTTTCTCTCCCTGTGACTCTCTCTCCCTCTCCATCCATCTCTCTCTTTCTCTCCCTGTGACTCTCTCTCCCTCTCCATCATCTCTATCTTCTCTCACTGTGACTCTCTCTCCCTCCATCCATTCTCTCTTTTATCTCCGGGGACTCTCTCTCCCTCTCCATCCATCTCTCTCTTTCTCTCCCTGTGACTCTCTCTCCTCTCCATCATCTCTCTTTCTCTCCGTGACTATCTCTCTCCCCCATCCATCTCTCTTTACTCTACATGTGACTCTCTCTCAATACCATCATTCTCTTTCTCTCCCTGTGACTCTCTCCTCTCATATATATCTCTGTATTAACTGTGGACTCTCTCTCTCTACATCATATCTATATTTTCAAAAGTGTACTCTCTTACCTATAGAAGAGAGGGCTATCATTGGGACAGGAATCAAGACAATAGAAAACATATCTAGTCTTTCTCAGTGAATCTCCTATGATAATGACGATAATCTAGGGCGTCTTTCTCTCTGGGACTAGCTCCCTCATCACACTATCTCGCTCTCTCTCTTCTCTCTGTACGACTCCTATCTCGCTCTCTCTATCTGATCTCTATCCTCTCGTCGTAAATCTCTCTCATCTCTCTATCTCTCGCTCTCTCTCGTCTCTCTCTCTCTCTTCTTATCCTCTATTCACGCTCTCTCTCTCTCTCTCTTCTCTCTCTATCTCTCTCTCTCTCTCTCTCTCTCTCTCTCTCTCTCTCTCTCTATATCGTGGCTTTTAAACGTCTAGGGTGGATGGACAAGAGACCCGTAACATAATTCATGCAAATTAGAATCGTGACATGGAACAGTGAGAACAAAAACTACACGACAACCATAAAATGTTTATTTTTGAACACACAGTAAAGGTTTGGGAAAAAGGGCTGAGCAGGACCCAAGAAATGAAACAAGTGTAAAAAAAAACTAAACTGATCTTGCCTGCCTCAAGAACCGCTAAGCTACTGCTAATCATACAAAAATACAGTGGGTGGTCCGCTCAGGTCTAACTAGTGTTTTTAGACTGTTTTCTTCCTACGGGTAATGTATGCCCTAGGGCAACTTGCTTAAATTCCCCTTTTCCCAGAAACACACAACAAAGTTACCAAACAGAGTAACCAGCAAATGAGTGAGTACACAAAACACCACAGTATCCATACTCACATACGGAAAATAGTCTCTAACAAACTTACCAAACAGAGTAACCAGCAAATGAGTGAGTACACAAAACACCACAGTATCCATACTCACATACGGAAAATAGTCTCTAACAAACTTACCAAACAGAGTAACCAGCAAATGAGTGCGTGCACAGGACACCACAGTATCCATACTCACATACGGAAAATAGTCTCTCACAACAAACACAACTGACTGGCTTTTAAACAATGGGATGTGTGATTGAAAAACCAGAAACAGGTGGTGCAATGCAGAGGAATGTCCACTGATTGGTCCACCTCAGCAATCAGCAGACACCCCAACGACCACCGATCAGGAACATACAGGACACGTGATTAGGGCAGAAGGAGAGGAAAAACACAAAAAGACACAGGATACCTGTATACGTAACAGATGGTGTATATGTTAGTCTCTCAGAGGCCTAGAGGAAGTGATGCAACACTTTAGGTTTTGTGGAGAGCTGCTGCTGACGCCATGGCCTCTGTTGCTAAGGTTACTATGATCACTATCTTACTCAGAGTCTCTTCATTTATCAGACCTTTATGTTCTGTCTGTCTGTCTGTCTGTCTAACTGTCTAACTGTCTGTGTGTCTGTCTTCCTGGCTGCCTGTCTGTCTGTCCGTTTCTTTGTCTGTCTGTCTCTTTGTCTGTCTGTTTGTCTGTCTGTCTGTCTGTCTTACTAAACAGCTGACCAACCTTCCAACCTACCTTACTTTATTGAGTGATCTATCCACCAATCGACCTAATGACAGTTGCAGCTATCCATCTATGATATGTATAGTGTGGAAAGCATAGGGTTTGCAAAAATCTGGTAATTTCTGGAAAAACTGGGAATTTTGAGTCTCTCCTCTTGTCTGTGGTCAGGTCTGATTGTATCAATGATATATACAGTATTCTGTAAAGTCTCTCCTCCTGTCTGTGGTCAGGTCTGATTGTATCAATGATATATACAGTACTCTGTAAAGTCTCTCCTCCTGTCTGTGGTCAGGTCTGATGGTATCTATGATATATACAGTACTCTGTAAAGTCTCTCCTCCTGTCTGTGGTCAGGTCTGGTGGTATCTATGATATATACAGTACTCTGTAAAGTCTCTCCTCCTGTCTGTGGTCAGGTCTGATGGTATCTATGATATATACAGTACTCTGTAAAGTCTCTCCTCCTGTCTCTGGTCAGGTCTGATGGTATCTATGATATATACAGTACTCTGTAAAGTATCTCCTCCTGTCTCTGGTCAGGTCTGATGGTATCTATGATATATACAGTACTCTGTAAAGTCTCTCCTCCTGTCTCTGGTCAGGTCTGATGGTATCTATGATATATACAGTACTCTGTAAAGTCTCTCCTCCTGTCTGTGGTCAGGTCTGATGGTATCTATGATATATACAGTACTCTGTAAAGTCTCTCCTCCTGTCTGTGGTCAGGTATGATGGTGTGGACCAGTGTTGGTCTGGTAGTCATGGTGACAGTGTTAGGACTGGTCCTGCTCCTGTTCTACAGACAGAGGAGAGGAACCAGGAGAACACCACCACCACCACCAGTCTCCTCCAACACACAACCTGACCCTACTGGAGAGGTGAGAGATACAAGGGCGTGTTTGTGTGTGTGTGTGTGTATGTATATATGTGTGTGTGTGTGTGTGTGTGTGTTTGTGTGTGTGTGTCCTCTAGTGGATTTCTACTGTAATCTGTTATCATTCCTCAATCTGTCAACATGAAGAAGTTGCTGCAAACATCACTTGTAAGTTAGACAAGTCAGTTTCAACAGATAATGGATTCTCAGACTCAAAGGCTGCGTTAACACAGGCAGCCCAATTCTGATCTTAATAATTGGTCTTTTGACCAATCAGATTAGATATGTTGCCAATAATTGGTGTCTGTGTAAATGCAGCCATATTAACCATGTAGTTCTTCATTGACATTGTTTGGTTTGCACCTTGACTCACGTTGGTTGAGGGCCCTCCACTTCTTTTCATATCTGACCATGTAGTTGTTGTCATTGGCTCTCTATGCAGGTTGACTGTGTGTATGAGGAGATCAGAGAGGCAGACAGACAGACAGACACACTTCCTGTGGTCCTCTCTTCAGTCTACTCTACTGTCAACTCGCCTACCAACTCTTCAACCTACCCTGCTGGTCAAGACTCTACAACCTACCCTGCTGGCCACGCCTCTGCAACCTACACTGCTGGCCAAGCATCTACAACATACCCTGCTAGCTCCGCCACAGGTATTCTACAGATTGATGGGTAACTGCATACGTGGAGTGTGTTTGAAAGTGGCCGTTGCCAAATAAGTGGGAGGAGCAACATAAGTGGGTGTTTGGAAACCTAACAGCTAATTGGGCAGTTTGGTTTCCACTCAAAATCGATATGTGTGGCTGCTTGCTTTTTCCTTGTATCATTTTAGCTAACCCTAACCTGTTTCCTAACCTTAACCTCCTTCTCCTAACCTACTAGGTTAGTTCTCCTAAACTGCCATGTTAGTTATCCTAACCGACAAATTTAATTATCCTAACCTGCTATTTTATTTATTGTAACCTGCCACGTTAGTTTTCCTAACCTGCCACATTAATTATCCTAACCTGCCTTTTTAATTATCCTAACCTGCCACCTTAATTCTCCTAACTTGCCACGTTAAATCTCCTAACGTGCCACGTTAATTATCCTAACCTCTCACGTTAATTCTCCTAACCTGCCACGTTAATTATCCTAACATCCCACGGTAATTATCATAAACTGCCACGTTAATTATCCTAACATCCCACGGTAATTATCATAAACTGCCACGTTAATTATCCTAACATCCCACGGTAATTATCATAAACTGCCTAACCGGCCTCGCTAAAATGCTACAAGGAAACAGCAAGCAGCCACTCAAAACAGTCTTGAGCGGCAACCAATCTTCCCAATTAGCTGTTATGTTTCCATACACCCACTTATGTAAATCCTAACACTTATATCGCAATGCTAACTGTCACACACACTCCACATATGGTGTTACCCATACTTGATTCCACACTGTGACATGCTAATGCTTCCCCAAAGATGATATAAATCCAAGCTATTCTACTGCAGATCATCCAGCTTCTCTCATCTACTCCAATGTGAATCTACCCACAGATTCTAGAGTCTCTTCAAGCCCTCCAACAGCCAGTGGAACCCAGGATGATTCCATCTATTCTACAGCCCAGCTACCCAAAGATACTGTAGAATCTACAAGATACCCTGCTGTACACCTCTCTAAAGACACTCCAGAAGACGCCATCTACTCTACAGCCCAGCTACCAAAAGATACTGTAGAAGCTACAAGATACCCTGCTGTACACCTCTCTAAAGACACTCCAGAAGACGCCATCTACTCTACAGCCCAGCTACCCAAAATAATGTAGGACTATATAATCTATACAAGGGATGCGTCTCAAATGACACTCTATTACCTATCCCCCATATGGCCCTGGTCAAAGGCAGTGCTCTATAGAGAACAAGGTGCCATTTGGGATGAAGGGAAGCTCCCTGTAGAGAGATGAAGGGTTGTCACCACAGAGCCGCCATCTTGGAATGACATGAAAAAAAAAACAATCCCTTTCATGTTTCAATTCCTCCTTGACATATTGTATTCAAACAGCTCATGTGGTTTTACTGTATATAATGTGTGTAAAATATGAACATCTGGGTTTAAAATAAATTTTATCTCCAGATTTTGTGAAAGTCAACCAACATTTTTGTAAATATTTGTGTAAATATGAACTATGTATTTAGTCATATCATTTTGGCTTCATTTTGGCTGTTATAATAATGAAGACAGTAATACCATAATAGTCAGTTGTACCTTTGAGATTTACATATCTATTATATATGTACATAAACTGTACCTTTTAACTTTTAAAGTATTTCAATAAAACTCATCAAAATGTTTAAAACAGTGTGAATATGGAGTATTAGTGTGTGTGTGTGTGTGTGTGTGTGTGTGTGTGTGTGTTTGCACGCAGGCAGGCACACACACACATACACACACTGAAAAGCCAGTACTGGTGTATATGGGGTCAGGTCTGGGGATGGTGGTGTGTGTGTTGGTCCTCATTCTCATCATATTCATCAGACAAAGGACCAGAACAAAGATAACTACTGGTGAGACACACACATGTTGTTTTACTATCCTTGTGGGGACCAAACAACTGATTCCCATTCAAAATCCTATTTTCCCTAACCTTTAACCCTAACCCTAACGCCTAACCCTATACCTAACACCTAATCCTAATTGTAACACTAACCCTAATTCTAACCCTAACCCTAAACTTAACCCTAAGCCTGAAATAGCCTTTTTCATTTTGGGGATGAATGTCCCCACTTGTCCATATTTTCCTTGTTTTACTATCGTTGTGAGGGCTTCTGGTCCCCACAAGGATAGCAAAACCAAACACACACACAAACACACAGACACACAGACACACACACACACTTAACCACTCGCAGGTAGCTTAGTGGTTAAGAGCGTTGTGCCAGTAACCGAAAGGTCGCTGGTTCTAATCCCCTAGCTGACTAGGTGAAAAATTTGTCGATGTGCCCTTGAGCAAGGCACTTAACCCTAATTGCTCCTGTAAGTCGCTCTGGATAAGAGCGTCTGCTAAATGACTAAAAATATTACATATCCTCAGAATCTGTTAACTCCAGAAGGACTGCCTTCCACCCCATCTACTCCACCCCGACCAATCAGAACCTAGATACAGCCCGTGACATAACCACAACAACCACCACAACAACCAATCATTGTCCAGATGACATATATTCCAACTACAGAGGTTGCGGGCACTGTGAGCTATGTTACTATCAACTTCCCCAGAGATCCAGCCTGTCTCCACTATGTTACTGTCAACTTCCCCAGAGATCCAGCCTGTCTCCACTATGCTACTGTCAACTTCCCCAGAGATCCAGCCTGTCTCCACTGAGCTACTGTCAACTTCCCCAGAGATCCAGCCTGTCTCCACTATGCTACTGTCATCTTCCCCAGAGATCCAGCCTGTCTCCACTATGCTACTATCAACTTCCCCAGAGATCCAGCCTGTCTCCACTATGTTGCTGTCAACTTCCCCAGAGATCCTGCCTGTCTCCACTATGCTACTGTCAACTTCCCCAGAGATCCAGCCTGTCTCCACTATGATACTGTCAACTTCCCCAGAGATCCAGCCTGTCTCCACTATGCTACTGTCAACTTCCCCAGAGATCCAGCCTGTCTCCACTATGCTACTGTCAACTTCCCCAGAGATCCAGCCTGTCTCCACTATAATACTGTCTCCTTCAGTACAGACTCTGATGCTAGTAACCACCCAGACACTCACCCTACAGATGTAGACACCTCATAGATGTACTGCACCATTAAACACTCTGCTACATAGTCTAATACTGTCACTGATCTGTATGGCAAAGCATGAATTCATGTTTTCATTTATTAATGTTTTCACTCATTTGTGTTTTTAATTAATTTGTTTATTTGATCTTTCATTTGTTAATTAGTTTATATATTCATTCAATCATTCATTTATGTGTTTGTTCTTTAATTCATTAATTCATATTTTTATTCATATTTTTTACATCGTTAATTTGTTAATTTGTTCGTATATTCATTTATTGATTTATTTGTTTGTTCGTTAGTTCAATCATCTGTTCGTTCATTCTTTTGTTTGTTTGTCGGTCGTTCCGTCTGTACCTCCGTTCATTCATTCAATCATTTTTCTACTGTGAATGTAACACTGGCTTGAACAAAAAGAGACAGTTTATCACTTTTAGAAAGCTTTGCTTATTCAGTGTTTTTTACTCCACTTGACTGGGAAATGAGCCTATGTGTATTTATCAATAAAGCACCAATATATTTCTATGTGTTTGATACATTCCATTCTAGACATTACTATAAGTCGTCCTCCCCTCACCAGCCTCCACTGGTGCTGTCAGTAAACTCAGTACCTGTCTCATCAGCATGTACCACTGTCACTAGACACACAGAGCTGAGATGGAGGGAGAGATGGAGGGTAGATGGAGGGATAGATGGAGGGAGATCGCCCTCCAGTGGCAGAATAACTCTGTTTCTCTCCTCTGCAGACAGCCTCCAGTCTGCATGAGAGTGTATGAATGTGTTTCTGTGCTTTGATCCATAGAGGCCTCTCTCTCCCTCTTTTTGTCTCACTGATCTCTTTCTCACACTCCCTTTCTCTCTCTCTCTCTCAGCCTCCATCTTTATTTATTTCTCTCTCTCTCTCACACTCTCTCTCTCTCTACTGTGTGATGTAGGAACAGAGATATGATTGGTTAAGGAGGAAGAGGGAGGGGCTGTCAGAATTACCGTTTTTCTCAGTCGCTTTGGTGCATTTCTTAGATCAAAAGTGCAATTCTTGATACTACTTGTACAAATTCCAAATCATCTAGTCACTTGTGCACATCATTAAAGCAATTTCTTATTCCTTTGAACAAATTGCAATTGCTTTTGTACATATTGCAATTGATAATGTACAAGTGTCAGCTTTTTTCCACATTTTCAATTGCTCATGTCATGTTGATCAAAATATAGTAGATGGTTCTCTGTTGAATAGTCTTACCCCTCAAAACATCTAGGCATTAGTTCCTTGCATAAGCCTTTACATGCAAAATTGTTGAACTATTTGTCATAAACTGTCAAGCATAGTTTTACACATTTCTATTAGACCTTTTGTACAAAAACGTAAATTGCTGAATCGTGCAGGTGAAATTAACCCTCACTCATGAAGGAATGTAAAGTGTTAGTTCAACCAACAATCAACCAGTTGTCTAAATTGCTCAAAGGTGCATCTCATGAAGAATCAATTGGCAAGCATATATAGACAGACCACAACACAGAGTTGCAATTTTCCAATAATGGATGGACCAGGAAACGAACAGGGTCAACAGCCAAGAGGAGGAAGAAGAGGAGCAAGGATGCGTGGTGGAAGGCAAAACAGAGGAAGAGGCAGAAGAGGACATAGGCGCATATCTGATGACATAAGGGCCACTATTGTAGACCATGTTGTCAATCATGGCCTTACAATGGCTGAGGCGAGTCGAAGGGTGCAGCCGAATATTGGGAGATCAACCGTGTCCTCAATAGTACAAACGTTTCGAAGAGAGAACAGGTATGTCCACCAATGTACAGTGCACTGTTACTGTATATAAGCAGTATACTGTATACTTCCTACAATGCTTCATATTACAGTAGTCCACTTGTATTTCACAGCATACAGAAATATACTCTATACAGATACATACTGCACCTTACATGCACCCACCTGTATGTTTTACAGTAAAATGTGTGTTCGCATAGTTTTTGACTATGTGAAAGTGTGCGATGCATCACTGCATTTTTCCACACATAGGACTGCAAGATTACCTCAAACCGGTGGCAGAGGACGCCTTTTCACACCTCAACAGGAGGAGGCTATTTGCACCATGGTCCGAGCAAACAATGCCATGAGACTCAGGGAAATACAAAGGACCATTATAGAAGACAACGATGTCTTTGAAAACATCCATACGGTTAGCATCTCAACCATCGACAGGGTGCTGCATAGAAACCAGAAGAGTATGAAACAGCTGTACCGTGTACCATTCCAAAGGAATGAGGACAGAGTTAAGGAGCTACGGTACCAGTATGTACAGGTAAAACATATATCTATGTAACTACTTTACAGCAACATTTTATAGTGTTACATAGTACAGTAAGCATAAACTGCACACATTTCCATTGCTGTGGAAGGAACATGCAATATATGTACATTTTATGTCACTCTTCCTTACCAAAACAAATTCAACTGTGTGTTCTGGGATATAGCGTATAATGGAGTTGGAATCAAGTGAACCCTCTCACAACTTTGTATACGTGGATGAGGCTGGCTTCAACCTGACCAAATGCAGAAGGCGGGGTCGGAATATCATCGGTCACAGAGCTACTGTGGATTTGCCAGGCCAACGGGGAGGAAATATCACCATGTGTGCTGCTATTTCGGAGCATGGTGTCCTAACCAGGGGCGGTGTGTTCAATAGGGCGATATGGGCGACGCACTGCCAAACGGGAAAAGGAAGGGATTTTTTTTCTAATCAATTATATCACGGCAACAGTAGTTATCAGTGTTCTAATCTGATCTGACTGCCACTAAATGTCAAATCAGGCTAAAGTCGTGCTTCAAATGGCCCCGCCCGTTTTTGGGGCGATTTCAGTCATGTTGAAAATCGCCCAGAAGTCTGTCATAGACTCCCATGTAAAATCTATTTTTTTCAAATTTCAAAGCTTTCAATACAATCTCTATGGGTGTCTGTGGGCTTGCACTTACGCGCTTTCGTCATACGTGACGTAACCATGAACGTAACTAAGAAAATAGCGGCTAGCAGCGTCTCTGTTGCGACCTGCAGTGTGGCGTTATCTTATGTTTTTAATTTGTACACTTAGTGGCGTTATTTTATGTTTTTAATTTGTACACTTAGTTTACAAACATTCTGCCAACCATGGATTTCCAGTGGTGGGTTTTGGACTGATCTTGTTGATCGTGTACATACCCGCTACGAACGGACTAAATAATGAAAACGCTGCTGGCAGCGGAATCCAATACAGCTGGGAGACTTGGCTGGATGACAGAGTCCCGGACAGAGAAGTGGAGCCGGCCGGCTTCACCCTGGTCAGAGCGGACCGCGATCTGACACAGTCACAGGGAAAATCGATCCTGGTAAGAGAGCAACTCTGTACCCCCGACATTGAACTGCTTTCTGTGTCACTGCGACCTTACTATCTGCCCCGTGAGTTCCCCCAATTGTTTGTTACCGTTGTGTACTGTTGATAATCACAAGTTTACTGGAGAACTGAGACCAAGTAGAGACTTTGGACAGGGTGGATATGGTATAATAAAGGCAGTTTATTCAGAGGTAAAGATATCTGGAATCGCGTGCACGGACTCGTTCGTCAAACTCTTAGGGAGCTATCTGAAGAGAGCCCCGAAAACATTGTGTGCAGACATTTTATACAATAAATGATGTAGGTTGAATCTAGTAGTTCTGATCTTCTGATTGGTCCTGATGAGTTGGGCGAGGTCCCCTCCACTGTTGCATTGGCTCTGAGTCGGGTTCTCTGTCTTCAAATGTTCAGCCTAAAGAGAGGGGATTTTTGTGTGTGTGTGTGTGTGTGTGTTTAACAGTGATGATGTGTGTGTGTGTGTGTGTTATCAGTGATGATGATGTGTGTGTGTGTGTGTGTGTGTGTGTGTGTGTGTGTGTGTGTGTGTGTGTGTGTGTCCTCAGAGCAAGAACTCGTGAGTTGGAAGAACTGAGAGACCTATGGCGTGGGTGTTGTCCTTGGCCACCTGCTGACAAGGCTGACAAGATAGGACTCTTTTGTCCATTGTTATAGGATAGGAACAGCATTGATTGAAAACAAACGCCCAACACAAAATGGGTCATGCACAAGATTTTAGTCAGACCAAGCTATAACATTATATATTTACTACGACAGTACATTCAACCAAAAGCTAATATAACAAAGGCATCAGAGATTATTTATAATCTGTCACAGAAACTGGAATCCATCTCCCCAGATCAGTCAATAAATGCTTCTGGTATTGACTTATATGCTGCCCCTGTCTTCATGTTGTTGCTGGACATATCTTTTTTAAAATGTGTGTAGGTCACCTAAATCATCAGAAAAATTGCCCCTCCTGAGAATTTTTTCAGGAGCCGCCACTGGTCCTAACCCATATCCCCCTTTTAGGGCCATACAACACCCAGCATCTACTCAACTTTTTAGAGACTCTCTACAAGGGCTCTCATCCCTGATGATGAGAGGGGTCTGTTTAGAGAGGATTTGCCAAAGTATGTGGTCATTTGTGATAATGTGAGTTTCCATCGATCAAACATCATAAGGCAATGGTTTGTGACCCACCCGAGGATGCTCATAGAATTCCTCCCACCTTATTCACCATTCCTTAACCCAATTGAGGAGTTCTTTTCAGCATGGAGGTGGAAGGTGTACGATCGTCAGCCACACACACAGATGACCCTGCTGGCTGCAATGGATGCAGCATGTGAGGACACCACAGTAGACGCCTGCAGAGGATGGATAAGGCATTCCAAAAGATTCTTTCCACGTTGCATTGGAAGGGGAAAATATCCGGGTGTGATGTGGATGAGAATATGTGGGCTGACAGACAGGAACTCTGGAGTGTAGAGGAACAGCACTAGAAACAGTGTGTGGGCAAAGTTGTGCCTTAGGGGTGTTTCCTGTGTTTCTTTCTAATTTAGTTTTTTTTCCTTTGTGCCCCTTGTGTTGTCCAGTCTCTTTCAATCAATAACCCACATACAGTAATATGTAAATAGTACTGTTGAATTGATATATGCCATAGAAGTGCAGCCTTGTGCATTTTCAATACAGTAACTGTCATCCAACTGTAGCCTAAGTTTACATCAGGTAATACTGTCAAGTACACGTTCCATTGACAACATGCCTAAACATTTTGACCAACCTTGTTTCGTGAACAATGACTCAATGACTTATCATTCTGATGACACTGACATGATCATTGGCATGAATATTTACTTTTGAGAGATGTACTAAGGATTTTTAGTGACTGACTAGCTTTAGAAACATTTATCTATTGTATATTGCCAGTTTGTACAATTGGTTCCTGAGAAATCACTTATTATTTGCACATGTTAGGTATGATTGAAAAATGCACCAAAGCTGACTGAGAAAAATGTAACATGTGGTAGGAGGGTTTGAACTAGTAGAGAGAGCGAGAGAGGAGGAGCGACGAGAGCGAGAGAGCGAGAGAGAGAGGAGAGGAAGAGAGAGAGAGAGAGAGAGAAGGAGAGAGAGGAGAGATAGAGGGGAAGAGGAGAGAGAGAGAGAGAGAGGAGAGAGAGGAGAGAGGGAGAGAGGAGAGGAGAGAGAGAGAGAGAGAGAGGAGTGATGAAAAAGAAGAGAGTGATGAGAGACAGAGAAAAGATAGAAAGAGAGAAATGTGGTGAGCTAAAAGGAGAACTAAAACACTCAACAGAAACAAGAGAAACTCCTCTCTCCCTCCATATCTCTCTCTGTGCCTGTAACTCTCTCCTCCCCTCCATCTCTCTCTCGTGCCTGTAACTCTCTCTATCCCTCCATCTCTCTCTGTGCCTGTAACTCCTCTCTACCTCAATATCTCTCTCTGTGCCTGTAAACTCTCTCTCTTCCCCTCATCTCTCTCTCTCTCTCCATGTGACTCTTTGCCTCCATCTCTCCCTCCATCTCTCCATCTCTTCCTCTCCTCACCTAGCAAAAAAATTATCCCACCTGTGTCAATCGTTTTCAGTGGCTCCACCCACCACCACAACAACAACAACAACACCTACAGCACTTCCAGCCTCAGCCACATCCACCTTCATCTCACCGTCACCATCACCATCATCACCATCACCACCATCCACATCATCACTAAACAGATCTGGTAAATTACATTTTACAAATTCAAATGTCTGAGTCTCACTTTGGTAGACATGTCTGTATGTAGTGTTATGATATGAGGGTAGGTTAGTGGTAGACCATGTCTGTATGAGGTGTTATGATATGAGGGTAGGTTAGTGGTAGGACATGTCTGTATGTAGTGTTATGATATGAGGGTAGGTTAGTGGTAGACATGTCTGTATGTAGTGTTATGATATGAGGGTTAGGGTTAGTGGTAGACATGTCTGTATGTAGTGTTATGATATGAGGGTAGGTTAGTGGTGAGACCATGTCTGTATGTAGTGTTATGATATGAGGGTAGGTTAGTGGTAGACATGTCTGTATGTAGTGTTATGATATGAGGGTAGGTTAGTGGTAGACATGTCTGTATGTAGTGTTATGATATGAGGGTAGGTTAGTGGTAGACATGTCTGTATGTAGTGTTATGATATGAGGGTAGGTTAGTGGTAGACATGTCGGTCGGTCGGTCGGTCGGTCGGTCGGTCTGTTTATCTCTCTCTCTGTCTGTCTGTCTGTCTGTCTGTCTTCCTACCAGGTAAACCAGTGGTCATCATGGTGTGTGTGAGTCTGACTGTGTTGGTGGTGGGACTCATCCTGCTACTGATCTACAAATGGAGGAGAGACAGGAAATCATCAAGTGAGTAACCCTCAGATGAATTGACCGTGTATATAACTGACCCTGTATATAACTAACCCTGTACATAGCTGACCCTGTATAAACTGACCCTGTATATAATTGACCCTGTATATAGCTGACCCTTTTATTTATTTTTTGTAATGTTTTTGTTTGTTTTGCTATTTTGATTTTGAATACTGCGCTGTTGGGATGGGCTTGCAAGTTAAACATTTCACTGGACTTATGCATGTGACAAATAAAACTTTAAAAACACTGCAATCATTGTTTATGATATGTTGTGTGGTTCACAGGGCCAGTCTCCAATCCAGATCCAGGAATCACAGGGTGTTTAAGAGAGGGAACCATCAACACAACAACCCAAGACTCCACCTACCAAACCCTCAACACAACAACCCCAGACTCCACCTACCAAACCCTCAACACAACAACCCAAGACTCCACCCACCAAACCCTCAATACAACAACCCAAGACTCCACCTACCAAACCCTCAATACAACAACCCAAGACTCCACCTACCAAACCCTCATCTAATAAACAACAGACCCAAACTAATGCTGTTTTCATATCACGTGGAAAACTCTGAAAATACTTCTAGTGAACTGGGAGCAAGAAGTTGTGTGCGTTCACCTGCTGTGAACTCGAAAAGAATGCTGATTGGCTAATATCAAATTAACTGCCTCTACCATGAAAACAAAGTCCATCTATCATGGTTGTAAACACATTATAATGTTAAAAACCATAGAAATAGATTGATTTATTATACATATTGTGTTGTTGTATTGAACTGCTGAAAACGCTGTTATCAAGGTAATTTCCTTAGTGTGTGACGTCAGTGGTCAGTATGTGGGTGAAGTCAGAGCTCAGAGATGATAGACAAGTTTCCCACTAGTAATTACCAGTTGGAGGGACGTTCAAGTGGAATGTTCTCAGTCGTATGCTAGTATTGACGAATATACGAGATGTTATGAACACAGCATCTGCTTATGACAAAATGTGAGTCAGTAAAGTCTCTGTAACGTTTGAATCATTTTTGTACCTATGAAAATACATTTTGCACCATACTTTCTCAATTACTGTAAATGTGGATCAATTAAATGTCAGAAAAAAATATATATATATATTGATGTATACTTTAACTGTATTGTCATCATCTCAACAATGTGTTCCTCCTCTGCTGGAACAAACATGGTAACTTTAGAACAGATAAGTTGACAGTTGTCTTGTGGTTTAGAAGTCTAACCTCCAGCCGGTTTGAAGCAGTTTCACTCTGCAGCACATATAGACCTGCAGACACTGAGCACACTACAGAGAAATTAGGATGTGTCAGCTAATGCCCCCCCCCCCCTCCCACCACCACCATCACTATCTCAATCTCTCTGACATACATTTTATATGGTTTATTTCACTTTTGTTTATGATCTATTTCACTTGCTTTGGCAATGGAAACATGTGTCCCATGCCAATAAAGCCCTTTGAATTGAATTGAATTTAAGAGACAAAAAGACAGGAGAGAGAGAGAGAGAGGAGAGATGAGAGACAGAGAGAAGAGAGAGATAAGATAGGGAGAGAGAGAGAGAGAGAGAGAGAGACACAAAGAGATAGGAGAGGAGAGACAGACAGAGAGACAGGAGAGAAGCGAGAGAGAGAGCGAGAGAGACAGACAGAGAGAGAGAGCGAGAGACAGACAGAGAGAGAGAGACAGAGAGAGAGAGAGAGAGAGAGAGAGAGAGAGACAGAGAGAGAGAGCGAGAGACAGACAGAGAGAGAGAGCGAGAGACAGACAGAGAGAGAGAGACAGAGACAGAGAGAGAGAGAGAGAGAGAGAGAGAGGGGGGGGGGGTGGGGTTGTTAGAGGAGGGAGGAGCGTTCAATTAAGGAAGGAAACAGGAACAAGCTGTTGTGGAACTGTGCTAGCTGGTTGTGTAGTCAAGTAACTTTAAAAGTACAGAAACTGTGATAGTAAAGTAATTTAACAGTCTATTAACTGTGATTGTAAAGTAACTAACAGTTTATTAACTGTGATTGTAAAGTAACTTTAACGGTATAGCAACTGAGGATTAACTGTCCAGAATGAAGATACTTCATGTTGTCTCCTGCTGTCTTCTCTCGGGTGAGTTCTGTCTGTCTGTCTGTATGTCTGTCTGTCTGTCTGTCTGTCTGTCTGTCTGTCTGTCTGTCTGTCTGTCTGTCTGTCTGTCTGTCTTCGTCTGCTGCCTCTGCTCTGTCTGTCTGTCTGTCTGTCTGCCTGCCTGTCTGTTTGTCTGCCTGTCTGCTTGTCTGTCTGTCTGCCTGCCTGCCTGCCTGCCTGCCTGTCTGTCTGCCTGTCTGCCTGTCTGTCTGTCTGTCTGTCTGTCTGTCTGTCTCTGTCTGTCTGTATCAGTTTCTATACTACTTTCTGGATAATATAGTACATAAGGAATAAGATATGTATTTGTCTATAAGGAAGCGTTCTAAGTTTGTTTTTCACATGTAACCTCCCGAGTGGCGCAGTGGTCTAAGGCACTACATCGCAGTGCTAGCTGTGCCACTAGAGATCCTGGTTCGAATCCAGGCTCTGTCGTAGCCGGCTGTGACCGGGAGACCCATGGGGCGGTGCACAATTGGCCCAGCGTCGTCTAGGGTAGGGGAGGGAATGGCCGGCAGGGGATGTAGCTCAGTTCGTAGAGCATGGCGTTTGCAACGCCAGGGTTGTGGGTTCGATTCCCACGGGGGGAATGAAAATAAAAAATAAAAAAAAGTAATGTATGCACTAACTGTAAGTTGATCTAGATAAGAGCGTCTGCTAAATGACTAAAATGTAAATGTACCTTATGATAATACCCTGAACTTAGAATGTTTGATATGTTGGTCTTTTACCTTGGTTTGTGCATGGTTCAAGTAAGATTTATTCAGGTTAAAGTAAGATGAGCAGGTTTAAGTATATCTCACAGGTCATCAGTTGTGACTGTACTGTGTGTTTCTGTTTGTCAGCTCTGTGTGTTGTGGAGTCAGCTGTCATTAATGTGAAGGAAGTGGTGGGAGGACATGTCATGTTCGGCTGCTCATTCACATTGGCAGGGAACAACATCAAATATTTCTGCAAGGGGACATGTTCTGGTAAAGATATTCTGGTTCAAACTAATGGGAGAAAGACTGTAACTCAAGGTAGATACAGTATAGAAGACAAGGGAGATGGAGTCTTCTATGTGACCATCAAGAACCTGATGAAGTCAGACTCTGGGACCTACTGGTGTGGAGTGGGGAGATTTGGCCCAGACACATTCCAAGAGGTGCATCTTATAGTTACAGATGGTAAGTGAACACTACATATAAATTGGTATCTAGTAATTCACTTCCTGACTTATTTCCTGACATATAGTTGTTTCAGTATTTGTATTTATCTGTACTTTCTACTGACTCACAGCTCCTCCCACTCCTACACCATCACCTGTCACCTCCAGACCCAATGTCTCCACAACCCTCCCAAACCTCTCTGCAACATCCTCTAACATCTCTACAATGTTTCTGACATCTGGAGATGTCAGTGGTCACTTTTCATCAAGAACAGGTATGACGAATCTCTCATCTCTGACATTACAACTAACACGCTGTGATATTAAATGCTGTAATTCTGGAGCAAATCAATTGTAACTGTTCATGCTTTGGACAAATTGTAGATTTGGAGGCCATGTAGATGTGAGCCTCTCAGAGGCCCACAGGAAGTGATGCAACATTTGAGGTTTTGTGGAGAGCTGCCGATGACACCATGGCCTCCGTTGCTATAGTTACTCTGATCACTGTCTTACACCTTTAGCAGACCTTTATTATATATCCACTTATTACTATTACTATTTTTATTATTACCCGACTATATTATCTATCTATCAGTTTTTTTGTCTTTTCTTTGTCTGTCTGTCTGTCTGTCTGTCTGTCTGTCTGTCTGTCTGTCTGTCTGTCTGTCTGTCTGTCTGTCTGTCTGTCTGTCTGTCTGTCTGTCTGTCTGTCTGTCTGTCTGTATGTCTGTCTGTCTGTCTGTGTTGTTGTCTGTCTGTCACCTGACAGACTCTACCAACCAACTGACGACCAACCAACTGACCAATCTTCCAACCTACCTTACTTTACTTTATTGACTGACCTATCCACCAGTCTACCGACCAACCCACCAGATGACCCTGGTAACGATCCATCAGTCTGATATCTATAGCCTTTAAAGCATAGGGTTGAGTTATTCTGGTCATTTCTGGAAAACCTGGAAGATTGGGGAAATTTACTGAAACGTTTAACCCTGATAAAGTCTCTCCTCCTGTCTGTGGTCAGGTCTGATGATGTGGATCAGTGTTGGTCTGGTAGTCATGGTGACAGTGTTAGGACTGGTCCTGCTCCTGTTCTACAGACAGAGGAGAGGAACCAGGAGAACACCACCACCACCACCAGTCTCCTCCAACACACAACCTGACCCTACTGGAGAGGTGAGAGACACAAGGGCGTGTGTGTGTGTGTGTGTGTGTGTGTGTGTGTGTGTGTGTGTGTGTGTGTGTGTGTCCATAATAACTTGTAGTGGAGGGGATATAGACGTTGTGGTAAACTAAACATCTAAAGGTTGAGTGTGTAAGTCTACAGCGTCCTCTAGTTGGATTGTAGCTTGTTATCATTCCATGAAGAAAAAAACAGTGGCTAACATGTTGTTGATGGTTGAGGGCCTCCACTTCTTTTCATATCTGACCATGTAGTTGTTGTCATTGGTTCTCTATGCAGGTTGACTGTGTGTATGAGGAGATCAGAGAGGCAGACAGACAGACAGACACACTCCCTCTGGTCATCTCTTCAGTCTACTCTACCGTCAACTCACCTACCAACTATACAACCTATCCTGCTGGAAAAGACTCTACAACCTACCCTTCTGGCCAAGTCTCTACAACCTACCCTGCTGGCCAAGACTCCACAACCTACCCTGCTGGCCAAGTCTCTACAACCTACCCTGCTGGCCAAGCCTCTACAACCTACCCTGCTGGCCAAGTCTCTACAACCTACCCTGCTAGCCAAGCCTCTACAACCTACCCTGCTGGCCGTGCCACCGGTGTCCCACACTGTGACATCTATGCTAACGCTATCTGCCACAAAGATTATATAAATCCAAGCTATTCTACTGCAGATCGCCCAGCTTCTCTCATCTACTCTAATGTGGATCTACCCAAAGATTCTAGAGTCTCTTCAAGCCCTCCAACAGCCAGTGGAACCCAGGATGATTCCATCTATTCTACAGCCCAGCTACCCAAAGATACTGTAGAATCTACAAGATACCCTGCTGTACACCTCTCTAAAGACACTCCAGAAGACGCCATCTACTCTACAGCCCAGCTACCAATAATAATATAGGACTATATAATCTATACAAGGGATGCGTCTCAAATGACACTCTATTAACTATCCCCCATTTGGCCCTGGTCAAAGGCAGTGCTCTATAGAGAACAAGGTGCCATTTGGGATGAAGGGAAGCTCCCTGTAGAGAGATGAAGGGTTGTCACCACAGAGCCGCCATCTTGGAATGACACGAAAAAACCCAATCCCTTTCATGTTTCAAATCCTCCTTGACATATTGTATTAACACAGCTCATGTGGTTTTACTGTATATAATGTATGTAAAATATGAACATCTAGGTTTCAAATCATTTTTATTTCCAGATTTTGTGAAAGTCAACCAACATTATTGTAAATATTTGTGTAAATATGAACTATGTGTTTTGTCATTTCATTTTGGCTTCATTTTGGCTGTTATAATAATGAAGACAGTAATACCATAATAGTCAGTTGTACCTTTGAGATTTACATATCTATTATGTATATGTATATAAACTGTACCTTTTAACTTTTAAAGTATTTCAATAAAACTCATCAAAATGTTTAAAACAGTGTGAATGTGTAGTATTAGTGTGTGTGGACATGTAGAGAAAGAGGAAGACTGAGACACACCCACACCTTACACACACACACACACACACACACACACACACACACACACACACACACACACACACACACACACACACACACACACACACACACACACACACACACACACACACACACACACACACACACACACACACACACACACATCCACCCACCCACCCACACAAACACACACACAGATACACACACACACAGATACACACACACTGAAAAACCACAGAGAGAGCAGACTCACTAGCATCACTGGTACTGTAACAGGAGTAGTAAATGGTTGAGTGATTGGAGACAGTACAGGGAGAGATGAGACTTCACTGGGAGAGAATCATGATGACTGTCTGTATCACTATACTATATCTCCTCTCAGGTAGGTTTACAGTACACTGTTACACTAGAGACTGGTCCTAGATCAGGTCTACACTGATACACTAGAGACTGGTCCTAGATCAGGTCTACACTGATACACTAGCGACTGGTCCTAGATCAGGTCTACACTGATAAACTAGAGACTGGTCCTAGATCAGGTCTACACTGATACACTAGAGACTGGTCCTAGATCAGGTCTACACTGTTACACTAGAGACTGGTCCTAGATCAGGTCTACACGGTTACACTAGAGACTGGTCCTGGATCAGTCAACCTTCTATGGGTCAGTTAGTGTCAAGTAATATCAAGTACTGGAGGGACAGATGAAGGAGCTTCGTTGTGAATACTCCTTCACCAACCAGGACAATATCAAGTACTTCTGTCGGATCGATGACCACCTATCCTGCCGGGACCTGATCCGGACCGGGAAGCATGACGTCTGGGTGAGAGAGGGGAGATTCTCTATGTACGACAACACCACTGCTGCGGTCTTCACTGTCATTATAGACATGCTGAGCCTGAAGGATGCTGGGAAATACTGGTGTGGAGTGGACATCTTCTTATTGCCGGATGATGTCAGTGAGATTCAACTGCAGGTTCTATATTGCGGAGCTCCGCCCCATAGGGGAGCTCTGCTCCTATTGGTTTACCCACTGCCCTAAGGCAGTATCAGCCTGAGACAAAATTATGCACACACCTGCAGCCAATAGGAGTACAGGTGTCCCTATAAGAGGGGATGCCTCCCCTCAATCAGCCCCACTTTATCTTCAGCGACTGGACTAGACTGAAGAAGCCAAGAAGAGACGAAGAAGAAGACTCAGGACGAAGATACGCCGTCGATTTTCCAGTTCATCGACGTCGTCCTAAATGAGCGCACCAGGAGATTTTCCACCCCCAAAAGCTATTTTCAGAGCTCAATGCCGTTGTTCCTCTATGGCGACTACGGACCCCCACGACTTGTGTTTCGTGTGTTTGGGTGCGCAGCACGCCAAAGACGGAACCGGCGTTCCCCCTAATTGCACCTCCTGCGCCCTCCTTCCTATGAAGGAGAGGATATTGGGCGTTCTTTAGGGAGGATATTCCCTTAGAGGACGTACTGTCTATACTAGCCTCTGCTTCAGAGGCGTCGTCAGACGGTGCTGAATCAGAGGATGACAAGGAGGGAGGAGAGGAGATGGATATTCCCATGGAACAGTCCGACCCTCACACTCAAACTTTTAAGACCCCCTTTCCATTGGAAAGCGAGAGGTCTTATGGCTCCTTGGGCGATGATGACACGGGCTCTGACACGTCAGTAGCCCTGTCCTTCGCAGCGGCCTCTCTGCGCTCAGACTTCCCTGGGCTCATTGAGCGGGCGGCCAAACGACTGGAGATAGCGCTGCCCCCCATTCCCCCCCCCCCCCCCCCGCGGAGGTGGATATGATGGAGGGCGGACCCTATTCTCGGCCGAGGAAGGCAGCTGAGCCATTGGCTCCGGCTATGCCTTCTCTCAGCAAATATGTCGAGGGCTCATGGGAGGCACCCTTGGCGGCGCGTTCGCTGGCCAAGATGTACTGCCCATTCACAAGAGTGGAAGGATGAGAGAGGGCTGCCAGGGGAATCCCTAGGCTCGAGAGCGCCATGGCGGCGTATCTAGTGCCAGGTTCGAGTCCCTGGGCGGCCTCCAAGAAAGCCACTCTACCAACCCAAAAGGACAGGCTCACAGCACAGCTGGCAGAGAAGTCCTTTACGTTGGGAGCCCAGGCTGTGTCAGCAGCAAACAACATTGCCCTCCTCGCGGCCTCCCTATCCCGTTTAATGACGGGAAGGTCTGAGTTAACGAGTGAGGAGGTGGAAGAGGCGTCCAGGATTTCTGGCGCTATTCTCCATCTGACACAGGTGTCTGCTATCTGCGCGGGAAGGTCCATGGCCACTTCGGTGGTTATTGAACGTCACCTCTGGCTGTCATTGACTGCCATGAAGGAGACTGACCGAGCGTCGCTGCTCAACGCCCCCCTCTCTGACGACGGGCTCTTTGGAGTCGCTGTCAAAGAGGTGACGGAGCGTTTTGCGAAGTTAGACGAAGACAGGAAGCAGCTGGCTAGACACCTGCCATTGGCAGGGAGATCCAGCCATACGCTAGCAAAACCGTCCACCTCGAACGCCCCCGGTAGATCTTCTATGGTGAGGCGGCGTGTCAGGCGTCAGACGTCGGCCACTAGCAGCAGGAGAGCGGGCACCGCCCCCCCCAGCAGCACCCGTGGTCACGACGATTCCGCCAGCGAGAGAGGTTGTCGTCAAGTCGCCCTGGCAGCACCCCAAGGGGACGCAGAAGAGGCGAAGACAATGACGGGACGAGGGGGAGAGAATGGGAGATGGCTCGTCGTGGGACGCGACCGAGCCCACTGTTCCCCCCCACCCTTCTGTTCGGGGCATGGAGGGAAATGTTTGTTTTCATGTGTTTAATAAAGAGTTGGCTCCCACTGACATTGTCACAAGAGAGCCCTTTTTCCATGACACGTTGGAGAACGTTCAGAGTACTTCACGCCCTATGTTTCTCTCCCATCACTGAGTGTAGCTCAACCCACCTAGGGTGTGTAGCTGAGCACACACAAGAGAGGAGAGAGAAAAAGGTAGCAAGACGCAGCCTTAGCTCACCTCATAAAGATCTCACACTATGTTCGGCTGCTCATTCACATTGGCAGGGAACAACATCAAATATTTCTGCAAGGGGACATGTTCTGGTAAAGATATTCTGGTTCAAACTAATGGGAGAAAGACTGTAACTCAAGGTAGATACAGTATAGAAGACAAGGGAGATGGAGTCTTCTATGTGACCATCAAGAACCTGATGAAGTCAGACTCTGGGACCTACTGGTGTGGAGTGGGGAGATTTGGCCCAGACACATTCCAAGAGGTGCATCTTATAGTTACAGATGGTAAGTGAACACTACATATAAATTGGTATCTAGTAATTCACTTCCTGACTTATTTCCTGACATATAGTTGTTTCAGTATTTGTATTTATCTGTACTTTCTACTGACTCACAGCTCCTCCCACTCCTACACCATCACCTGTCACCTCCAGACCCAATGTCTCCACAACCCTCCCAAACCTCTTTGCAACATCCTCTAACATCTCTACAATGTTTCTGACATCTGGAGATGTCAGTGGTCACTTTTCATCAAGAACAGGTATGACGAATCTCTCATCTCTGACATTACAACTAACACGCTGTGATATTAAATGCTGTAATTCTGGAGCAAATCAATTGTAACTGTTCATGCTTTGGACAAATTGTAGATTTGGAGGCCATGTAGATGTGAGCCTCTCAGAGGCCCACAGGAAGTGATGCAACATTTGAGGTTTTGTGGAGAGCTGCCGATGACACCATGGCCTCCGTTGCTATAGTTACTCTGATCACTGTCTTACACCTTTAGCAGACCTTTATTATATATCCACTTATTACTATTACTATTTTTATTATTACCCGACTATATTATCTATCTATCAGTTTTTTTGTCTTTTCTTTGTCTGTCTGTCTGTCTGTCTGTCTGTCTGTCTGTCTGTCTGTCTGTCTGTCTGTCTGTCTGTCTGTCTGTCTGTCTGTCTGTCTGTCTGTCTGTCTGTATGTCTGTCTGTCTGTCTGTGTTGTTGTCTGTCTGTCACCTGACAGACTCTACCAACCAACTGACGACCAACCAACTGACCAATCTTCCAACCTACCTTACTTTACTTTATTGACTGACCTATCCACCAGTCTACCGACCAACCCACCAGATGACCCTGGTAACGATCCATCAGTCTGATATCTATAGCCTTTAAAGCATAGGGTTGAGTTATTCTGGTCATTTCTGGAAAACCTGGAAGATTGGGGAAATTTACTGAAACGTTTAACCCTGATAAAGTCTCTCCTCCTGTCTGTGGTCAGGTCTGATGATGTGGATCAGTGTTGGTCTGGTAGTCATGGTGACAGTGTTAGGACTGGTCCTGCTCCTGTTCTACAGACAGAGGAGAGGAACCAGGAGAACACCACCACCACCACCAGTCTCCTCCAACACACAACCTGACCCTACTGGAGAGGTGAGAGACACAAGGGCGTGTGTGTGTGTGTGTGTGTGTGTGTGTGTGTGTGTGTGTGTGTGTGTGTGTGTGTGTGTGTGTGTGTGTGTCCATAATAACTTGTAGTGGAGGGGATATAGACGTTGTGGTAAACTAAACATCTAAAGGTTGAGTGTGTAAGTCTACAGCGTCCTCTAGTTGGATTGTAGCTTGTTATCATTCCATGAAGAAAAAAACAGTGGCTAACATGTTGTTGATGGTTGAGGGCCTCCACTTCTTTTCATATCTGACCATGTAGTTGTTGTCATTGGTTCTCTATGCAGGTTGACTGTGTGTATGAGGAGATCAGAGAGGCAGACAGACAGACAGACACACTCCCTCTGGTCATCTCTTCAGTCTACTCTACCGTCAACTCACCTACCAACTATACAACCTATCCTGCTGGAAAAGACTCTACAACCTACCCTTCTGGCCAAGTCTCTACAACCTACCCTGCTGGCCAAGACTCCACAACCTACCCTGCTGGCCAAGTCTCTACAACCTACCCTGCTGGCCAAGCCTCTACAACCTACCCTGCTGGCCAAGTCTCTACAACCTACCCTGCTAGCCAAGCCTCTACAACCTACCCTGCTGGCCGTGCCACCGGTGTCCCACACTGTGACATCTATGCTAACGCTATCTGCCACAAAGATTATATAAATCCAAGCTATTCTACTGCAGATCGCCCAGCTTCTCTCATCTACTCTAATGTGGATCTACCCAAAGATTCTAGAGTCTCTTCAAGCCCTCCAACAGCCAGTGGAACCCAGGATGATTCCATCTATTCTACAGCCCAGCTACCCAAAGATACTGTAGAATCTACAAGATACCCTGCTGTACACCTCTCTAAAGACACTCCAGAAGACGCCATCTACTCTACAGCCCAGCTACCAATAATAATATAGGACTATATAATCTATACAAGGGATGCGTCTCAAATGACACTCTATTAACTATCCCCCATTTGGCCCTGGTCAAAGGCAGTGCTCTATAGAGAACAAGGTGCCATTTGGGATGAAGAGAAGCTCCCTGTAGAGAGATGAAGGGTTGTCACCACAGAGCCGCCATCTTGGAATGACACGAAAAAACCCAATCCCTTTCATGTTTCAAATCCTCCTTGACATATTGTATTAACACAGCTCATGTGGTTTTACTGTATATAATGTATGTAAAATATGAACATCTAGGTTTCAAATCATTTTTATTTCCAGATTTTGTGAAAGTCAACCAACATTATTGTAAATATTTGTGTAAATATGAACTATGTGTTTTGTCATTTCATTTTGGCTTCATTTTGGCTGTTATAATAATGAAGACAGTAATACCATAATAGTCAGTTGTACCTTTGAGATTTACATATCTATTATGTATATGTATATAAACTGTACCTTTTAACTTTTAAAGTATTTCAATAAAACTCATCAAAATGTTTAAAACAGTGTGAATGTGTAGTATTAGTGTGTGTGGGACATGTAGAGAAAGAGGAAGACTGAGACACACCCACACCTTACACACACACACACACACACACACACACACACACACACACACACACACACACACACACACACACACACACAACACAACACCACACACACACACACACACACACACACACACCACACACACACACACACACATCCACCCACCCACCCACACAAACACACACACAGATACACACACACACAGATACACACACACTGAAAAAACCACAGAGAGAGCAGACTCACTAGCATCACTGGTACTGTAACAGGAGTAGTAAATGGTTGAGTGATTGGAGACAGTACAGGGAGAGATGAGACTTCACTGGGAGAGAATCATGATGACTGTCTGTATCACTATACTATATCTCCTCTCAGGTAGGTTTACAGTACACTGTTACACTAGAGACTGGTCCTAGATCAGGTCTACACTGATACACTAGAGACTGGTCCTAGATCAGGTCTACACTGTTACACTAGAGACTGGTCCTGGATCAGTCAACCTTCTATGGGTCAGTTAGTGTCAAGTAATATCAAGTACTGGAGGGACAGATGAAGGAGCTTCGTTGTGAATACTCCTTCACCAACCAGGACAATATCAAGTACTTCTGTCGGATCGATGACCACCTATCCTGCCGGGACCTGATCCGGACCGGGAAGCATGACGTCTGGGTGAGAGAGGGGAGATTCTCTATGTACGACAACACCACTGCTGCGGTCTTCACTGACATTATAGACATGCTGAGCCTGAAGGATGCTAGGAAATACTGGTGTGGAGTGGACATCTTCTTATTGCCGGATGATGTCAGTGAGATTCAACTGCAGGTTCTATATCGTGGAGCTCCGCCCCATAGGGGAGCTCTGCTCCTATTGGTTTACCCACTGCCCTAAGGCAGTATCAGCCTGAGACAAAATTATGCACACACCTGCAGCCAATAGGAGTACAGGTGTCCCTATAAGAGGGGATGCCTCCCCTCAATCAGC